TTCCAACATTAATTCTCCTTCTGTTAAACTTAGCAAATTCTTACTACCTTCCTTACAAATCTTTAGCCACAACAACCCTTATGATGTACAAAACTCATTCCATCTCCGTGAACAGCTACTCTCCTTTACCATTCCAGACGATTTCATTCTTTGCTCCTTCGATGTTGAAAGTTTATTTACGAACATACCCATAGACAAGGCACTTACTATAATAGACGAAAATTGGACTATCATTAAACCTCACACCTCACTTAACCGCTCCTCATATCTCGAATCCCTTCATCTATGCTGTAAATCAGGCTACCTCACTTTCCAAGGACAATTTTTTAACCAAATCTCTGGACTAGCAATGGGTAACTCCCTCGCTCCCGACATCTCGAACATTGTTCTCAATGATCTTCTAGACTCCATTATCCCTCTTTACCCTGACGATATCATCTTTATTCGGAAATACGTAGACGACCTCCTCCTAATCATCAATCCAAATAAAATTCCTGATATCCTATCACATTTTAACTCCTACCACCCCCGCCTCAATTTTACAGTACAACGCGAACTCAATAATTCTCTCCCTTTTCTCGACCTTCTAATCATTAAAAATCCCAATAACACCATATCCACAGACTGGTACACTAAACCAACTTACACTGGCAGACTCCTAAATTTCCATTCTAAACATCCCTACCACCAAAAAATTAACGTTGCGAAAAATCTCATCCACCGTAGTCTCTCCCTCTCTGATCCCCAATTTCACGTTACCATACCAAACACATAAAACAGATCCTTTCAAACAATAATTTTCCTCTCCATGTCATTAACAAACTTATAACAGACCACAATAATCGCTCTTCCTTAATCTCAACTTCCACTAATTCTCCACAACCCATTTCAGCCCCTATATACAGATCTCTACCTTACATTCCTAACCTTTCAGACAACATCAACAAAGTTTTACGATCTACTAACCCTAACTTACGACTTGCATTCAAATCTCACAACACTCTCAAAATTATACACATCCCTAAAAGATCCGGTTCCTCTCTCACACCGCTCTCATATCGTTTACCGTATTCCATGTTCTACCCCCAATTGTTTTTCATCCTATATTGGTGAAACCAAAAATCTCCTAAAAGACCGCATAACCCAACATAAATATTCTGTATCCTCTCGTAATTTTACCGCTTCCAAATTATCCGAACATTCTCTCTCCCTCAATCATTCATTTGATTTCGACAAAACATCCATCCTTGCCACAGTTCTCAACCATGACAAACGACTCATTTCTGAAACCCTCCACATCCAGCTTCAACCAAAGACAGTGAATCTTAAATCTGACAAACAGAACTTTTCTTTAGCCTACTCCCAAATTCTGAATTTATTAAAACATCCATAGTTATATTCCTTTCCTTTTTGCTGACAACTCCCTTATATATATATACGTGTATGTATATATATATATATCTGTGTATATATATATATATATGTATATATAATATATTTTTATTTCAATTTTTCTCCCTTATTACTCAATAGTTATTTTTCTTTTGAATTTTTCTTTCACTTTCTATTAACTTTCGTTCAATTTTCCATAATTTTTCTGAATAATGTATCTCTCGTACCTATTTAGGCTTCTAGCGCTTTAGTTCAAACTTCGTCTGATAACCGTTAGAGATGATGCCACCTACACATCTCTTCTCTCTCCCCCTCCCTTGTAACGACTTTTATTCTCCCCTCGACACTTAAGGAGAAAGGTAGTACTTCTTTTATTTCTTTCTTATTTCAGCTTTCTCAATTTCTTCCCTCCTTCCTTTCATTCCTTTTCTCTGTTTTTAACTCTTTATTATATTATACATTGTACATCTTGATAGACTTCACAATATCTCAATTTTCTATCTAACTACTCCATTCTCAATGTTTTAATTTTACTATTTATTTTCATTTCTTATATAACTTTATATTTCTTTTTTATGTTTTACATTTTATTCTAAGATTCCCAATGTAACACTTTTGTCACTCCTTTTTGATTATGCCTACTTCATCATTCCACACTATGTAACAGTTTTTATTATTTTTCTCTTAGTTCTTAGTCATTATTCCAACAATTTCATTTTACTTTATATCTATCTATTTTATTTTTCTAATAATTTTTTTTTATTTTATTTTTTCATTTTTTATTATCTTTTTTACCATCATTACTTATGTTTCTCATACCTTGTTATCTGGTTATTTTCTTAGCCCTGAAGAAGGCCTGAACTTCAGGTCGAAACATCGGCATATGTAAACAATAAATATTATAATTTATTTTTGCCTTCCTTTTTGACTGAGCACCCCAACTATTCTTCTCTTCAAAATATTTTTTCATTTCATATCTTCCTATGACTCTATTGATCCTATGGTATCTACCCTAACCTCAAACCTACAATCCTTATTGAACACCCATGCTCCGCTGAAAACTAAAACCTTACGTCGTCCCACTGCACCTTGGCTAACTCCAGAAATAAAGGAAATGATGAAAAGAAGGGATGCAGCAAGGCGCAAATGCCGTCAAACCCATTTGCCTGCAGATTATGCGTCTTTTAAGAAACTTCGCAATGGAACCCAATCCATAATCCGACTTGCTAAAGCCACCTACTTTCATAATACCCTTTCCAAATCCAAATGTAAAATACTTCGAAACCTATCCCTACCAGAATTCAATAAATTCAGTTCAATCTCGGTGACTCAATGACCATTTCCTATCCTTCACTCACGATTCTTCTACTTTCGATATTAAACATCACAATTTCAATCCTGAAGACTTCTTTTTCTCCCATGTGACCTATGATGAATTACTTTCCACTATCCTAAAATCTCAAACTAATGATTATGGTCCTGATAATATCCCAGTAAAACTAATAAAATCCAGCCTTCCTGCCCTTATTCCTGTTCTTTACCGTATCTACAACATTTCACTGCAAAACTCTCTATTCCCATCCTCCTGGAAAACTGCCCTAGTCCGATCTTTGAATAAAATTCCCAACCCTACCTCACTGCATGATTTCCATCCTATTTCTCTCCTATCCAACCTCTCAAAGCCGTTAGATCGCCTTATCTAAAATCAACTCTCTAACTTCCTAGAAGAACGTTCCCTTATCAACCCATTCTAATCTGGCTTTCGACCTAATTACTCAACGCAATCCGCTCTCCTTAAAATAACCCATGACCTCCAAAACTCCATCGAACACTAAAACCTTACCATCCTCATCCTTCTAGATTTTCCCAAAGCCTTCGACACAGTTGACCATAACATCCTCCTTACAAAATTGCACAATCTTTCTCTATCCAACAGTGTCCTGCGTTGGTTCAAATCCTTCCTTTCAAATCGGTCAGAGTATGTAGTAGTCCCAGGCCAACCTCCATCTAAGACCCTTCCCCTCACCTGTGGTGTCCCTCAAGGTTCCTCTCTATCTCCTACTCTGTTTGCTATTTACATTAATGACCTTCCCTTCATGATCCATCACTCCCAATACCATATCTTTACAGATGATTTCCAAATATACCTGTTCTTCCCGCCTTCTGACCTATTATCTGCCACAGAGAAAAGGCACTCCAATCACCTCCTTAAAACTGTTCCTGCATGATAATCCCATCAAATTTTACCCCATCGTCAAAAACCTTGGAATAACCTTCGATCAAACACTTTCATGGAAAAACCATGTATCCAATATTTCCCGCCGTACCATTTCCACTCTAAAACGTCTAAATTATTCTCGTCACCCATTTCCATTAGGCTCCTAGTCACTTCTTTAATTTTCCCCCACTTTGACTATTGCTGTTCGGTATATGGGGGAGTCTCTGGGGATCTCGAGGCAAAAATAAAATGTTTAATAAATTGCTTTGTACAATTCATTTTCGGGATACCAAGAGACTCCTCTGTTTCCCATTTTTATGCAGAGTTGAAGGTGCTTTATCCTTCCTACCGTTGTAAATATTTCCTGGCATCCTTCCTCTTTCAAGTTATCCAATAACACCGTCCTTTATACATCTCTGAGCTCCTTCAATTCAAATCGTCTGTTCGTTCCCGGTCTTCTGACTTATACATAAGGGTGCACCGAACCGCTGCTTTCGACAGATCTTTCATTATCCGATCCTCATCCCTTTGGAATTCCATCCCTTCTCACATCCGACAATCTAATACCCTTCCTACCTTTAAATCCTGCCTGTTCAATCATTTCTTATCCATCCAGTCCCCATGAAATTGTAAATAGATAATAATGTAAATACACTGACTGGCAAAAAATTCCACCCACTTGATTTTTTCATGTTTTCATCCAAAAAATATTTCTACTTTGGATTGGTCATGGTATTTGTAGATAATACTTAGTATTTATGGAATTTTATAATCTTTTTTACCTTTAATAATTAAAATGTGATTGGGTAAGAAAGATTAGAGAAAAAAAAATTGAAAAACGAACCATTATTATTCTTAAAGAAATTAATTACATCATTGTTTAGTAGCGTGTGTTTCCTTCTCTTGCCTTCACTACTTCTTGAAGACTCCTCGGCATACTTTCCACCAGTCGGGAAATGTCCTTTTGCTGGAGGATAGCCCATTCCTCCCGAAGAGCCCTTTCAAGGTCCTGCGGTGTATCAGGAAGTGTTGCACACGCTCTTATTCATCTTCTGAGGTTATCCCATAAATGCTCAATGGGGTTCAAATCTGGGGAACGTGCTGGCCAGGCTAAAACCTCAATATTGTTCTGTTGAAGGAACGTCTGTACTATGCGGGCGACATGTGGGCGTGCATTAGAATAGAACGGTCGCAGATTTCGTTGAGGATAGGCAACACATGAGGTTCCAAAATCTCATCTACATAGCGATAGTTATTACATAGTTTTTCATTGTTATCTTTATGAGTATTTACGGATGATTTTTTTTTTTTTTTTTACTACTGTTCTAACCATCATTTGGATCGATTACGATGATCAACTTTAGTGTAACTAATATTTTTATTATTTTAGTTTCCAGATGTTGCTGCTTCAGTTATACCAGTATTAATGGAATTTCTCTCAGATACAAGTGAACTAGCTTCGTATGATGTTCTTATATTTGTCCGAGAAGCAATTCATAAGTTTGATTCTTTAAGGGTTTTGATCATAGAGGTTAGAAAATAAAATTATTTTATTCCTTATAGTGATGAAGTACTTTTTGTTTATTATATTTAATTTCTTTTACTAAGTAAGATGACAGCCTATACTTATTGTGATATATTACATATAGATATAATAATGATAGTATTTATATGTTCAGGAGGCAGTCAAAGTATAAAGTTATTTTTTGTTTGCTGACGTTTCAGTTTACTTTTTTAGGCCTTTTTCAGAATTACAATAGTAAGATATAATCAAGTATGAGTATAAAATTAATTATATGTGATAGTTAAATTTCACTTTTAATCCCATTTATATATATAGTACACTCCCTTTACTCTCTTATAAATTAATATTACCCAGTCTTAGATCTTGCATTCACATATATTCATCATTTTTCTAATGAGGAATACATGTAAACATTTTTCTAACTCTATTTAGTTAGTATAGATGGTTGAATACTACGTATCAATTAAGTTATAATTACAAATAATGTAATATGTAACTAAAAGTTCTTGAGAAATAGAGGTATTTCTTCAAACATAAAGACTGTAATAGATTAATATTTTCAGGTCTTACTTTCAATTAATTTTGACTTGTTTATTCTGTTAATTTCAGCTTTCCACTGATTATGAATACTATACTTAATCCGATTTACTTAAGTGGCAGTATCTTAATTTATTCATTGTTATCATCACTGGATAATCTAATTGATGATCTATGCTTATTGATCAGCTATAATGGGTGAAGGGCTATTACAATACTCGTACATTGAGGAGATTTGATATATATCTTGTGAAAATAATAGTATGATTGAAATAGTTTAGTCTTTGTGGATTCTCTTATAAAAGAATAGAATAATTTTCAATTAGAGAAAAATTCAAGTATGGGTGCAGATATAATCTTATTCCCTTTTCATTATTTGAATTATGTAGGCTATGTTGACCAATTAGATGAAATATTGATTCTTCCTCACCTTTCCATTAAAGTCACCTATAATAATCTTCATATGATATTGTGAGCAGGTATTTACAGTTCTTTCCAAGAGTTAATACAAGGCTTCCTTATCTCCATCTTCTGAAGTATTTGTGAGTATGTACATTTAAAATGGAATAATTATAAAATCTTCTTTGGATCATTATTAGACTAATTCCTTGGCTTACAACTCTGAACCTTTATTACTTGATAAGTATACCATAATCATAGCACCTCCCTCTGCAGCTGTAGTAATTAGTTTAGTGTTTCTTCTCTATAATGCCCTGCCTGAACAACCCAGCGGATTTGCTGTTATTTCTTGATGATATTTTCCAATCTCTGCTAAAATCAATTTTGAAATGAAATGAAAATATTTTTTTATTATCCTGAGACTGTTGTCCCTTTAGGTCAAATTATAGATACTGAGAAAATGCGTGTGTGGCCATATATTAAATTAAATATTTACAATTCTCATTAAAATTAATATATTGGAAGAAGAATAAAACAAAAACACTAAAAACATACAGATATATATAATACAAACATGGGAAAATAAAATAACATAAGTAAACTAAATCATTTCTGGGAGAACTTAAAAAGTTCTCTTATCTACTTTTCATGATCAATCGGATTGGGAAAAGAGTAAATGCTTAAAAAGGAGAGATTTAAATTAGGAAACTGATTGTGCATGTCGTATATTGGAAGGGATAGTATTCCAGAAGGAGACGGCTTGAATTATAAAGGATTTGTCAAACATAGTAGTTCGGTGAGGAGTTGGATAGAGGTCGGAAGTACGAGATATAGTGGGACGGGATTGAATGGAATATTTAAATTGTAGGCTGTGAAAATGGTGCTCTTTATCTGTAAAGAGACTGAACATTCCAATATTCTCGGTAATACGAGGGTAAGGCAAAAAGTAAAGGGAAATTTGGATTTCCCTCCAAATCACGTGTATGGCAGCTCTAATTGTTCTGCTATAACTCATAACATCTATCAGCTATTCATTAAAAGTATTGTTTTTATTGTTAGCTACTTGTGATTGTGTTTAAAAATCTGTTCAAAATGAGTTCTTTGTCTGATTGTACCTAGGAATAAATGTGATCAGTGGTATATTTCCTCAATTCAGAAGATGTGAAACCAGCAGAAATTATTAGTCAAATCTAGGAGCAATATGGAGAGAGTAGTTTAAGTAGAACCAAGATCTACAATATATTGATTACTTTAAAAGTGGTAGGATTTCTCTGTGTGATGAATGGCCGACGACTAAAATTTAGAATTCAAAATAAAAAAACATAAGGAAGATAAATAATTCTGTGATAAACACAGATCGAATTTAATATTACAACAGGAAGAAGTAAACATAAGTGGAAAATCTTTCTGGAATAAAACTTGCCTTAAGTATCGGATAACAATAAAATGCTGACTTCTTAGAATAAGCTGTTTTGTTAGAAAGAAATTTATTGTGATTGTTTTGACTTGAATTCTCACTCATTCGTTCAGCACTTTAGTATCTGGCTTTGAACTGATTTGTAGTATTTTCATTATTTAAATAAAATAATTATGTTGAATATAAGATCTAGGCTCTCATCAAAAATTAAAATCTGGATGTCAAAATACCCCGAATTGAAATTTGATAAGAAAATTGTCTTTTGTAGGCCTTGTGAAAAATCAATCGGGTGTAATGGGAAATCACAGATGGACAACCATTGTAGAACATGAAATAAATAAACATTCCTATTAAAGAATTAAATGTTTTTTTTTACTTTCTTTTTTTAAAGAAAAAAAACTCTAATATTTGAATGCTTGAAAATCTCAAATATTACAGTGCATTCCTTAAGTTTCTTAAAATTTTAATAATAATGCTGTGGAATGTATAATATTAGAAATTTAAATTTGATTAAAAAAAAAATAAGTTTTCTTAATTCTTAATGTACATATATTATATTTAATATAAGTTAAATATTGAAAATTGGTCTAGTCTATACATATTATTCCTTCAAATCATTAATATTCTGCATTATCTCATACCTTGTAAGTCAGTCAATTGACCAATTAACCAATTTAAGGATTATTCAAACAAATTTGTTTTATTATTTGTCTACTAATTATTGAGGCCTTATTTTGTAGAGAGTGTGTTTTGTCCTGAAATTTTCATTGTTAAATGATAGTAACGGGTATTAAGTCAATGTTAGATTTATGTAGTTCTTATTATTGTTTAAATTTCTCTTTCTTTAAGATTGAGGTTAAGTGTAATTTATTGTTGTATTATATTATGTATTGTTGTTGTTTATTGCTTGTAATCTGGAATTTTATTTTCAATGTTGTATTTTAATTTTTTTTTTCTTATTGCACATTATTTTGATTTAGCTTAACGAAAAGTTTAATCAGGCTCGTTGGGTTCCGTGTCAGTCGATTAGCATCCACAAAGATGATCGTTTGAGTCTTTCCCAGAAACATTTGGTGCAATATGAAGAAGGAGGTTCATTTCTTAAGCTAGTAATAACTGTTAATGAGACATGGGTCAATCACTTTGAACCAGAGAGTAAGCAACAAAGTTTGGTATGAAAATATACTTTATCTCCCATAGCAAACAAGTTCAAAACTCAGATGTTTGCAGGAAAAGTTATGATAACAATATTCTAGGACATTAATGGTCCAATTTTGCTTGACTTCAAACCTAAAGGTCCAACAATAAATAGTAACAGCGACTGTGGGCTTCTGTATTTATTGAAGTCAAAAATCAAATCCAAAAGATGTAAACTTTCAAAAGCCGTAATTTTGCTTCAAATACTGCTCATACTGCCAAAAACACAGTTCCATGCCTTCAAAATCTCAGTTATCAACTGCTGTACCATTTGCCATATAGCCCAGTCTTGGCTCCAATCAAGAATTTTTTAGCCCTTTAAAAGAGGAATTCCGAGGGAATTATTATCAATCTGATAAAGAGGCCATTGAAATGGTGCAAAATATACTAAACACTAGGCCAAAAACCTTCTTTCAGGAAGGAATTCAAATGCTCATTAGGAGATGGACGTAGTGCATCAAAGTAGGAGGGAAATTTGGTGAAATGTAATGCTAATGTCATTTATTTCTGTACAAAATTTCCCTCTTAATTTTTTTTAATTATCCTTGTATTTCGTCAAGTCACTATAAAAAACCTGTAAGTACAATTTTAGTTGGAAATACGGTTTTGAACTTTTCTGGTTAATCTTGGCCTCACGAATATTTAGAAATACAAATGGAAAACGTTATTAATAACATTCATCTTTGTTTTAAGCCTTCAGTAAAAATTGAACTGAAAATCTACTTCATAAATAAGAAATACTCAGTTTATTTCATCTTATGTATAATTTTAGTATTCACACTTCCAGGCTTTTGTAGTATGGCTGTTGATATGTGTGTGTTACTGTAAATGCTTCCAATAATCTGGAGGGCAAATTCCCAAACTTCCAGGCCAAATTTGATAAGGTACAGCTTCTTTTATTAGAGATTTCAGTTGTAAAAGACAAATAAATTGAATCCAGTTCTTGTCCTACCTGGTGGGCACAAACCCAGTAAATTTTGGAATGTTTTGCAGACCTTTGGTACTTCTGAAGAAAAAGGAATTGAGCATACCTAAAAAATAAGACTTTAACTGAAAATATTCTCTAAAAGTAATGTTTTTCATTAAAATTCTGCCTCCTTGACATGTATTATACAATAAATGCATGTGAATATTAAATGTAAATTGATTACATATTATTAATGATTAAAATGATTACAGAAATTATTAGAAGCGTTTCCAACCATAAAATCTATGAAAGTTCATCGAGCTGCTCTTTGGATATTGGGTGAATATACTACTTCAGTTACAGATATTAAAGAAGTCATGAAACAAATAAAACATGCCCTTGGAGAGGTTAGTTTATATTAATTTAGAGTTTATTTAATAATAATATTATAACAATCTGGTCCAATCTGATGGCAACATTTATCGATTGGTGTCCAGAATATTATATTAGATGAAATGATTGTTTATTTTTTATAATGTTTAATTATTTGTGTTACTAAAATAATTTAAGATTTTTAAATATTTATATTATCAAAATGATTTGGCAGATACCACTTGTCGATGATGAAATAAAAAGAGCTTCTGGAGAGAAAGTTGAGGAAGTTGATCATCGAGATCAAGTAAAACTGGTTACATCTGATGGAACATATGCTACACAATCAATATTTAACACCATTCTGTGAGTTATGGATGATAAAATCTTAATCTTATTTATTTAAAACTATTTATTAATTGCTTGGCCTAGGTGATTGGTTATAACTTTTTATTCTGGTTGTGGCTCACATTCTTCAGTGCTAGAAAATTATTCACTTACTAGTTCTGTATAAATACATTCATTAGTATTTTATTTTTATTTTTTAGAACATATTTTTTTTCTCTAAATGGTTATTTAAAACTTCTTATCTGTCTCTGAAGGGACCCATTCACTGTCATATGTGTTGAACAACCAGTACGTGACAAAGGGTGGCTCTTTATACTAAAATATGACTATTACCCACTTACCTTCATATCAGTCAAATGACAAGACTCTTTGTTGTTGCACGCTTTCACTTACTTTTACCTCATTTGCCTCATGACTCCAATAAGTCAAAGGTTGCTGTCGTTTATGCAGTTTTATTTTTGTTTGATAGTGAAAATAAAAAATAAATTAGCCCTTCAAAGACTCAACCCCAGGTTTATACAAACATATTAGACCCTGATGAATTAATCATGGACTGTGATTTTGTGATGGAATAAATAACTTTATTCCAATAATTTATTGTTAAACAATAAAACAATGTGAATTTGTTCATTAATCGATGTATTTATGTTTTTACTTTCACTTACTTATATATGTAATATATAGTAAGGGTAAGTATTGCGATTGCGAAAATTTTTGAATCTGATTTTTTAACGGAAACTCACGTTTTGAAGTCTCCTGTGTCCAATTAACCAAGTCCCGTAAAATGATCTGTGTGTTTGTATGTATGTGAACAGTCTAGCTCAAAAACAAAAAGCTGTATGAAAGTGAAATTGTATATTTCAGGTTTTTATAAGCCAGGGATGTTACAGCAACTTTTTCGTCAAAATCGGGTAACCGAAAGTGGCACTTCATATAATAGTTTTTACATATTTTTACGATTTTCTCGAAAACGGCTCTTACAATTTTGATTAAATTCATTGTATCTGTGAAAAATAAGGCAGTGTTTAATTTAAGGTAGGTTTTATCCTCATCAATGCAACCTGGCAGGGCTTAAAAGCTGATTTTTATAACGTCTTCCTCTAAAGTACCTTTAATTTTTTTTATTTGAAATAATTAACCATTTCACATTTGAACCTTGTATAAAAAATGGTTATATATAAAATATGAAAGAATTTGATAATTAACTAATGGATAAATAATAGATCCTAATGGAGAATAGTTCAATTAGATAGACCAAAGGAATATGAGCCCTAGCTCACTCGAGTTCGCATGAAAGATTAGAACAGGCTTCCATACCTAACACAAGCTTAATATAATAGGGACACCAACAATATTATACACATAAACATATGCTGTTTTCATAAATGCTATCGTTTGTATTATTTAATATTTAATTGTATAGATTGCAGCAATATCAAAATACCCACAATAAAATATAAATAAATATACTGGCGTTCTTTATGAGTGCCACTCTTGTCAGGCTAAAAATATTTCGTTGCATTTAATTATTTATTACATTTAAATCAATAATTGAAATATACAGTTGTAAAAGGAAATAGATACTGTCAAACAAAATAAATGTAATACATTAGACGGCTATGAAAAACATATGGTAATTAATTTTTTTAAATGATGTTTCATACCATCTATAATTTTTACTTCCACTTCCCTTTGTCTGAAAATACTTATTTCTGTTAAGAAGTTGGTAAGTGAAAGTTGTGTGATGCACGCACCACACCAGATTTTTATAGTTGTTACTAAAATCAAGAATATTTCAACTGATTGAGTGTTTCAATAATAGAAATAGTCTACATTATACTCAAGTATATATTGTCTATATTTTTACTTTGTATATGTACCTTTATGATGTAACAAACATGGTTTCCTGTTGTAAGTTTGAGAATTGAGTCTTTAAGTTACTCACACACTTTCATACTTAGAACTGGTTAGACGGACAAGTAGTATTTTGATTAATTAAATTGTTGATGAAATTTGCTGTAAACTTACCACCTTTTTACTGAAATCAAAGTGAGTTTTTCCCTGTTGTTGTGGCCAGGGTTATCTCAAAATGAAACACAAATCTTTCCCTGGTGAGCTTCCTCAAAGGTGGGGAAAATATGAATAAAATTAAACAAGAAAAAAAAACGAAGGTAAAAATGAGACCTGTAAACATTAAAAAAAAACACATGCACTAAACAATACCAAATAAAATTACTGAATTAATTAAAGATTGAAAGGTAAAAAAAAAAATCCCTTTCTGAATGTTAAAAAAATTTATTATTGAAATAAAAAAAGCAGATGTATACAAAAAAAATTTAAAACAAACAAATAATGGTGTGCAAGTAAAAATAAAACATTTTTTTTTACTTGAAGTAAAAATAAAACAAACACAACCCTCAATGAAAATAAAAAAATTGTCCATCAAATAACATCAACAAAAATTAAAATTAATAACAAAAATAAACTAATTTTCAAGTGTTGTCAACTAATTTTTGTGTGACGGTGAGAATGTAGAAGAATATCCAAGTGAGAGGTAGATTGCTCTCCTCCCATTGAGGTTACCTCAGTCTGATGTTTAGCTGTCGATGGTGGGGGGTTATCGATACGACAGGCCTATCAATATCGATGACTACTGCCTACATCACGAACAGCTGTAACTCAAAAATGGCGGCAGGCAGATGAGGTTGAATCCAGAGCGGCCGTTGTGATGGTGGGAGAAAATTGGACGTTCAGTAGGCTTAGGTCCAATGATAAACAATGTTCACTCCAGACTTCCGATGAAACAAAAGGACACTATACTAGGCCATTGGGGTTGAGTTAAATGGAGTGGCTGGTAGGAAGAGGGGGAAGATGTCCAGTACATGGACCCAATGTCAACGAAAGCTCGCTCCAGACCCCATCCCGCCAGTCTTATCGCAATATTTTAGTTGTCTTAATACCTAAAACGCAGTATTACTGCCTGGCTAGTACGTACACACAAACGCAATAATTCATTGCAAATGAAGCTAAATATATAGATACTATAAACTTAAATAAATTTCTGGAACAATTATATCTTAGCTTTTACAAAAAAATAAATAAACAATTTCTTCATTAACATTTAAAAAGGGGTACAAGTGTGAGAAAACAAAAATAAATGAAGGAAAAATAAAATGTGTAGATTTAGGCGTTAACACCTGTCTTACTTTTTTTTTCTCATTTTTCCATAATTTCCTAATTTTAATGAAACATATCTTTTTGATAATCAAATTGGCTTGAAATTTTTTTCTAATATGTGAAACAATAATTTATTTTAGGCCATTTATATTTTCTAGCACTGGTTTGGCTTCTTTACTTACTGAGGTTGTTGGGAATGATTGCTTTTAGCTTGTGATTTTTCTTTTTTAATGCAGTGTTAATCTCTTTAATATCTAATTCAGAAGCATGAAAAAAAGTTTATGTATATTTTTTTACTAATGACTCCTTTGAAAGTTTTCTGTTTTGCTTACCTTATGTTGCTGGCTTAATGATTAAGTATGTAAGTATAGGAGAAAGATAATTTGTTCAAAAAGGCGACCAACTACTATTTCCTTATTTCACGTAAGTATTCAACTCTAATTATTTCAGTTTTAGTGTATTTGGTTATAGAATCTCATTAATTCCCAGATTTTAGGTCTTTATCTTGTGCTAATTTTGAAAATTGCAATTGTTAAAAATAATAAAATATAATGGAGTGTTATGTGTTACTTTGAGCTGTTAATATGATTTTTTTTTTTTAATAATCTACCAAAATGTGAAAAACAGGCGACATAAGTTGTAAATAAATGTTTAAATATAGAAATAATTGTATTTATCTATCATCTATGTACAATTCTCGCCCAGTTAATTACATAAACTGAGGTATTAATGGTTTTCATGTCAATTCTACAAATATTATTCTCGTAACTAACAGTTGACTTTTTGGTTATTATTTTTGCTGGACAATTCCTTACAGTTTTTTGTGAGTATTGATAAAATTAATAAAATATACATAATATTTACAAGTGCAGTAATGAGATCTGCAGGAAGGATCATGACATACATGAATATAATTATTAAATAATTCATAACTCTAATGAAAGCGATTGGTGGTATCGGCATTGAACCTCCGGATTCGCTAAGCCTTTTATTATTATTATAACTATAGTGAAGAGAAGAATAGTTGGGGTGGTCAGTCAAAAAGGAAGGCAAAAAATAAATGATAATATTTATTTTTTACATATGCTGACATTTCGACCTGAAGTTCAGGCCTTCATCAGGGCTATAACTAGATAACAAGGTATGAGAAACATAAGTAGTGATGATAAAAAAAAAAATAAAAAAAAAAAAATAAATAAATATAAAGTAAAATGAAATTGTTAGAATAATGACTAAGAACTAAGAGATAAATAATAATAACCATTACATAGTGTGGAATGATGAAGTAGGCATAATCAAAAAGGGTGACATAAGTGTTACAATGGGAATCTTAGAATAAAATGTAAAACAAAAAAGAAATATGAAGTTATATAAGAAATCAAAATAAATAGTAAAATTAAAACATTGAGAATGGAGTAGTTAGATAGAAAATTGAGATATTGTATACATCAACACCAATAAAAGCTTTATAATGAATGCGTCCTGAATATTTATCACTCATAATAATCTTGTTTAGTGTTAACTGTTGATAAAATATAAACTTCTTTTGCTTTTACAAAACAAATTCTTTATTAATAACAAATTTAGATTAAATAATACATTAAATCTTAAAACTATACCTACCTACAAACCATAATCAATTTTTGTCATTTTAGGAGTATGTGTTTTGTCCTCTGGTGTGTTTACCGTTTCAGTGATTTCTTTGTTTGGATCATGGGGTTATCAGATACTGTTTTGAAGCTCAAAAATCTTTGTTTTAAAATAAATGTGTTGTTCTATTGTTGGAAGCTGCAATTGTGGGATTGTAATCTGTTAGCTATTATGTCAATTCTGAAAGAAGA